TGATGGCTGATGTGGCAATTTGACATCTTACATAGCTTTACACTCCACCCGATATGTCAAATTAAATTATTATTTTATTACATTTTAGTGTTAATTTATTTTTAATTAAAAAGAATAGAAAAAAATAAATAATAAAATAGTCATTTGACATCTTGCTTTTGGGATGTCAAAAATAACATTTCAATCTTCAGCCTTCATTCCACATCAGCTTTGACACATCGGTTGGAGTGTGTGAGATGTTATTTCTAGCTGTTAAATGTCTATGTGGCACTTTTGACATATCGGTTGGAGATGCTCTAAGTTGTCAAATTGCCACATCTGCCATCAAATTTAAATTTGATGTTTGGTATTTGGCATCTCCCTTGGAGATACTCTAAGCCGTTATAACAATCCAACATTTTGATACATGACATATCAGCTATAGAATAAAATTTAGTTTGTGTATTTTGTATTTTTCTAGACTTACCTTGCCGTTTTCTCCCCTCCTCGCTCTCCCTGCTCTCCTCCGTCCCCTCGATTCTCTCTCTTGTATCTCCCAATTCCAACTTCCCCTCAACGCTAGTTCAAAACTCAAAGAAAATTATATCTAAATCAAAGGCGAAGTAAAAAAGCATCAATGAAATTTTAGAAACCCCACTATTGCTCTGCAAAGGCAGAAACAACACCCACACCCTCAATTGAATTTCCTATTTTTCCTACAGAGCTTCAACGATTCACAACTTTTTCTTCATCTCCTCCTCACACCAAATCAAATTCCAAATGAAAAACAGTTAAAGGAGCTGACAAATGTCGAAGTTCCATTGTTGTGAGGAGAAGCTCCTCCTCAATTTTAAAGAGCCAAACAAAGATTTAAATTACACTCAATAAAAAGAAGGTAATATAGTAAGAGCAACATAGTAATTAACAACTACTAAATAAATAAATAAAATACTCTCATATTTTTCCCCCCACTAATCCATCTTGCCTTTCTTCTCGACTTTCCAAGCAATAACTCTCACATGCATACCATAACATGTGCCAAACTACTTGTAAAAAGGTAAACAAAAGCAATTAGAAATAAAGTTAAATTGCTCTCAATCTATGTATTTCCAATTTTTAAACCCCACAAGTCATGTCACGACCAGTCACATATACATTCCCTTCTTAGGAGAAAAGATCAAGTGAATCCGTAAGCTCGCTTTGCAGAGTCAAGGGTGTTGGAGAGGAGCATTGAGATTACAACAGGTCCAACTCCTCCTGGCACAGGAGTTATGGCTGACACCACCTTAATTGCCTCTTCGTAGCAAACATCTCCGGTGGTACGGAACCCTCGGGGACTATTGGGATCCTGCATATTATGACACATCCATCATGACAAAGCAAGCCCAAGAATTCAAACCAAATACGCAGACGAGTTTATATCCTAGTGAAATATCACTGTATTTCTTTATTGGCATGGAAAAACACACGTTTACAAATTTGACATGAGATGTGGCGGTGAAAATTGATTTTCCTTGATGGCTTCTGTACTTGTGATATAACATTGAAGACTCTATGTAATGCATTGTTTTTCTTGGTACTTACCATGCAATACAATATCAGTCCATATGCCAAAACAAATTGGTGCTGCACATCGAGAGAACAAGATCAATGCCCTCATTGAGAAATGGCTTTCTCATTGAGCACATTGCAGTCCAGTTTGTCTATTAATAATGGGAAGCGAACATGGATTACCACTTCCTCTGCTGTTTAAAATCCTTGACATAACATACTTGATGTTGTATAGTTGATTCAAAACAGCATGAACCACCGGCACTTCTAGCTCTAAACCGTAAAGTTTAGGGTTAGGGGCTGATGTGAAATTGAGGAGTCCAATTAGGGTTTGGCTTGATGAAAGAATTTGGGGGTAAATTAGGGATCTATGACAGATGAACCAGATCTACTAAGAATGAGAAATTCAATTGGATATCAGGCAATTCAGAGGGCAAGTAGGATAAAGAAATGAAGGCAACTGAGAAAAATAAGCAAGACGGGAAAGACACAACAATGCATACACTTGTGCATAAGCATGTTGTAGTCTTTATCAACATTTAGACTAACATCTCTAGATAATAATATCTTAGTCTTTAATAGTAGGTAGCTATGCCTTGAAACACAACTAGCCTAATTTTACATCAAAATTCATTTACTACAAAGAACAAGAGATCACAAGCTTATTGTAGACTTTGGCTAGATAATAATAAATCCTAGTCCTTAAAAATCAAACTAATCATGACCATCCATTAAAACCCTATCAAAAACAAAAAGACCCAGAATACACTTACTAATAGTAATATACTCCTATGGCCACGCAAAGTCACTTTGTTTTAATGACACTATCATTTCCCCATATCAAAATAAAAATAACAAGCATTTTTACAATTTATCAAAGACAACCACTGAAGGAACAAAACTCTTGTAAGTTAGAGGTCTAGATGTAAAGGATAAATTTTCTCAAACCAAGTTATGTCCGCAGTTTTCTATACCACTCATGCAGTTCTGGTTGATTCACATATTAATGGATGTTCAACAATACAGTAACTAGTGACAGTTAGGTAATATAGTAATAGTGACAACTAATGGTTAGAAGGTAAGGCATAATTAAGGATATAGTCCTAGCTCCAACCCCTAATGCAATGATACAACTAAAGAACTTATATGAAACTTCATCTAAATAGGTGGATGAGTAAACTCTTACACTCTTTGGAATTTAGACTTGCTTTAGAGATTAATGTCTACTCTAGATGGATATTGATTCAGTCCACCATCAGGCCTTCAAAAGTACTTTTCTACATTTAATGAAACAATAAATATCATTATGGTCTAATACAGCCATGACTCATGTGAGGCTGAAGCAGTTGAGTCTTCCTTTATGACCACACATGAGTAAAGAAGGTAAAATCTGATAGATACAAATTCTTATGGTCATACAAAACTAGTTTCTCTAGCAAAATTCTATTTTAAAAATGCATTTTGCAGGAGGGGATTTTGAAGTAATATATACTTTCAATGTTAAAAAATATTTGGGATACTTTTTCCAATGCACCCTCCAACATGGGTGCATCGAGTATTTTATGGTAATCGCAACCAGAAATGACTGCTTTCTTGGCAGATGAACAGTAGTTTGTTCCTCTGTTATTGCACTTAAATGGTCAGGAAAACTGACCAAACTTCACAACAACCTAAGAAAGAAATGTTTATGACTATGCACAGATATAATCCTCATTAGATCTGAAAGTTAGATAGAAACAAGATAATTTACCTTAACTGAATTTGTCCCCATGTCGACTACAACTGCCCCTGGCATCAGCCAATCGCATCTGACTATATTTGGAATGCCAACATCTGATACAACAATATCAGCTCGACGAATAATTTGTTCTGGGTTGTTGGTGAACGAATGGAGAGTGCTAACCGTCGCGTGGTGCCTCTGTCCAGGACTAATGGAGCATCATTGAAAAATTATTCAAACATTCTGATGTCTACACAGTAGGGAACAAAAATATGTGTCACCTGCAAGAGCAAAGAAGTGGATAACCCAGCAATCTTGCTTCTCCCTATTACCACTGCATTCTTCCCAATGATCTCCACACGATACCTGAGCAACAACTCAATGCAAGCCTTAGGGGCACAAGGGATGAATAACGGCTCCCTTCCCCGCAATGCAAGATTCCCCATATTGAGGGGATGAAAGCCATCCACATCTTTTTCCGGACTCACGAAATTTATAATCGTTTCCTCATCCAAATGCTGAATCAAACAAGTTAATGTACAATATTTTTAGAAACCCAAAAGGCCAAAACCAAATCACATGACTAGAACTAGAAGAAATCAAGAATACAAAACCCAATTTGAAGCAATAATTCTAAATTAACTCCAAGGATTTGGTACCTGTGGCAGAGGAAGTTGAACAATTATACCGTGCACAGATGGGTTGCTGTTAAAACTTGAAACAACATCAATAAGTCGATCTTGAGTACAATCTTGGGGCAGTTGTACAATGGAAGTTTCAATCCCAACTTCATTACAAGCTTTTAACTTGATATGGACATAAGCGTGTGAGTCCTCTCTGTAGCCCACCAAAACCATAGCCAACCCAGGAAGTCTTCCAATGGCAGCTTTCATTCTGCTTATTTCAGCAGCTACTCTCAATTTTATGTCTTTTGCAATTGGCTTTCCGCTCATTATTTCAGCAGCACTCTGAGTCTGCCCTGTAGCTCCTGTTTTCACAGCTTTGCGTACAACAACAATCAACAACCACTCATTCAATCATTCAATCAATCAATGAAGCTAAAACAGAGAGACCCATGATTCTCTATGAGAGCTGAAGAACATAAATGTGGTGTAGAAATGCACTTACGGTGAAACCCAGATGAGAGGGGACGATGGGGGGTTTGGGTGGGAACCCAAATGTGAGGGAGATTGAGAGGGCTTGAAAATGGCGGTGAGAGCGTCGCTGAGTATAAGGCTTTGCCTTTGGTCCCCAATCTGTGCCAGAAACCCACCATAACGCCACTACCTCCTATCCTCGATCTTCATACTCTCCCTCTTCTTCCTATTCTTGATTTTTGCCTTATCAATATATACAGACAAAATAAAACCACCAGTTGTTGATCAGGTGGGAATTTGTACACAGAATTTCGGATATTATGAAAATGTGAGTTTCTTCTGTTAATGCCTTAAAAATGAAACTTTCATAATTCTTTTATTTTTTTGGATAAAATAAACTTTCATAATTCAAAAAGATATGGTTAGCTAATAAAAATATTAAGAAATGAAACCACATATTTTATGACGGTTAGCTAAGGCAGTGAGTCCTTGGAAAATAAAAAAACCTAACACAGGGCGTCCATCTTTGCATTTGAGTTCAGTCTCTCTCATATAATAATATAAATTAGTTAGACTTTCGTTTTATCAAAAAAAGAAACCATTTGTCAAATGAGAATAAATATATTAACAGCTTTTTATATTACAATGTAAAAAGAAAAAAATTAAATGGCTTTTATTTTCATGGGAAGCAAGCATATCAAGTTTTCCCTTTCATAATACTAACATGAAAAAAAACCAAAAACCAAAAAATATCAATTGACACAAGCGCTCTAGTACATATAAAGGGAAACTTTGGTGAAATATTTAAAATCCCAAAATACATCTCCAATACTAGTAGAACACCAAACTCTTCAATTGAAGTTTGTTGACCTACGTGGCAATTTGAAAAGCTTTGTTTGCTACTTTAATATTTTGTGCCCCAATAGACTCTCAATTCCATTAATGCAATGTTATGGAAAAGAATGAAAAATATGAAAAAATGTGAAAAATATCTATATAGTTGTTGTTTGAAAAGAAAAAAAATGCATGTTTTTAACATTTTGAAGGTAGGTTTTATTTTTCCAAAGTAAAATTAAATGTTTTGAAGAGTCAAGGTCAACTTACCAGTCTTGAAGAGAGAGAAAGAGGTTGCAACTTTAATGACTGAGTTTGACAAGGTTGTTGGAGAGGGTTTTGATGGTGTGGCTCACTTACTTTAGCATTCCAAAGTTGTTGAAGAGGCTGTTGGAGATGCTTGCTAATTAACGTGTTAAGAAAGAAAATAATATATTAAATGAGGATAGTATGAGTAAATTTAAAATATTTTAATTTAGTAAAAGAGGATACTAATACTATTTGTACCATATTTACGGACTACATTGCTAACTACCTCTCTAATATAGGAAGGTCCCATATACAATAAAGAGATTTTATTTCTTTGACTTGAGTTGTGATGGGTCCACAATGCATATCTCCTCTAACTTGATAATAAAATTGATATCATCACCCAACGACAAGCTCCATTTTTCTTTTAATTCCCTTTATGATAAACTAGTTTTGCGGCAAACTTTTATTTCTTTGACTTCCATTAATCTTAGGCACTATGCATGTTTTTAGTAAAAACATTATTTGCTATAACATATTCATCTCCCAATACATACATATTTATATAAGGACATGAACATATGGTGAAGAACAATAATGTGGCTTGTGGATCACGAGTTCCGGCTGTATGGAATAATCAGAATACAACTATATTTTGTGACCTGTGTATCAAGGAGGTGGAGGCAGGTAATCGTCCTGGTACTCACTTTAAGAAAGAAGGACGGGAAAATGTGAGGATTCGCTTGAGTAAAGAGACAGGAGCCGAGGATGATAAATCAAAATTGAAAAATAAGTGGGATGCACTTAAGGAACAATGGAAAATATGGAAAGAACTAATTGGAAAAGAAACTGGTCTTGGGTGGAATTCCAAACTATATAAGGAGGCACGCTCAACGTGATATTCATTTTGACAAAGTGAATGACAACCCAAATGCAATGGAGATGGAGGGTGATGCACAAGAAGAATATCATATTACTCAAGGGCCTGGAGCACAAGAACTAGAAACATTAAGGAACAAGATTGCTGCAAGTTTAATGCATGCATCTTCTTAGACAGTTTCTTTATTTCCATTTATTTAAGCCTAGTTTCAATGTTTTTTTTTATTGCTACAATTCAAACCTTATTAGGACAAAGGATTTGTCAAAAAATATATTTATTACTTACTCAATATGAAGGATGATGTATGAACCTACTACCTGTAAAGATATCAAAGGTCCTAGTCTTGCCACATGTCAAGAGATTAAAGAATCAAGTGGTTAAAATGTTGTTAGTCTTGTTAGACAGTTAAGAAAGTCTGTTAGCATTGATCAGTGAAAGAAAGGGAGGTTAGAGAGGTTAGAGAACGTGAACCAGCTTCTAGCTATAGCTTAATATAAAGGTCTGTAATAGTGTTAGAAAAAGATCAATGAAAATACAATAGTTTCCTCTTTCTCTATTCATCAGAAATTCTCTCTGCTTATCTTTACTTTTCTATTTGCCTCTGTGTAATTCTGCTATCTTGATATGGTATCAGAGCAAGGCTTCACGTGTTGGGCCCAACGGCCACACGTGCTCCCACGTCACCCAATATGTGTTGTCCACGTGTTAGGCTTGAAATTTTGCCACACGTGCGGGGGCGTGTTGAGAGTATTTGTCCCACATTGAAAAGTTAAGGGACCAAGCCTGGGTTTATAAGGAATTGGGCTACTCCCCCCATTGCCAATTGGTTTTGGGGTGGAACCTCAACTTCCTTCATCCCATGTGGATCCTGATTTCCAACCTGAAACTCTTTGTGTGGTCTTGCCTCTTTCACCTATGAACCTTCATCCCATGACAACCAGGTCTAAGAATGGTATTTCCAAAAGGAAGGCTTATTCTGCCTCTGTACAGCATAATGATCTCTCTCAGGTTGAACCTAGTTCTTTCAAGGCTGCTTCTACAGTTTTTGAGTGGCAATCTGCTATGCAAGAGGAAATTGAGGCTCTTCATGCACAAGGAACTTGGGACTTGGTTCCTCTACCACCTAATAAGAATCTTGTAGGTTGTAAGTGGGTCTATAGAATCAAGAAGAATGCAGATGGTTCTATAGCAAGACATAAGGCTCGCTTGGTTGCTAAGGGCTTTAGTCAAGAGGAAGGTATTAACTATAGTGAAACCTTCAGTCCTGTAGTGAAACCTACCACTGTTCGTTTAGTCCTTGCCCTTGCAGCTCAGTTTAATTGGCCTTTAAGGCAACTTGATGTTAAAAATGCTTTTTTGCATGGTATTCTTCAAGAGGAGGTTTATATGACTCAACCCCAAGGCTTTGGGAGCAAGCTTCATCCTTCTGACTTTGTTTGCAAACTAAGGAAGTCTTTGTATGGTTTAAAACAGGCTCCTCGTGCCT